ATTGTACCAACTGTCAAGGATAGTGGTGCTAGCAAAATGCTCTGGAGCGTTGCTGCCAGTGGTAGTGATACATTGTACAAAGTGGATGGAATAATGAAGAATTGGAAGAAGGGCTACCTCCAAATTCAACATCCAAAAGGCTGAAACTTGGACATATTCGGGGGTTCCAGCAGGACAATGATCAAAAGAACTTTTGGAATGGCCTTTCCACAGCGCTGACCTCCTCTAACCCTGTTAAAATTTTGTGGACTATGGTTAAAATTTGAGTCTTTCCTAGCAAACCAAACAAATTTAAATTAATTCTACCAATTCTGATAAGAAAAGCAGTCAAATGTCCAGCCATAGAACGGTAGAAGTTTTTGATGGTTACCAAAAGCAATCAAAATGACCAAGATGTAATTTGCTAAGGGAAATTTAACCAAATATAAGAAAATCAAAAATAAGCTTGTTCACCCAGTTCTTACTTTTTAAGTCATTAAAGATGTATGCGGCTCAGTCATTCCACCCTGTAAAAAGAACAGCTCAAAGAAATCATTAAAAGCCCTAAATCCCCATGATATTCATGCCCGTGAAGACAGCGTGTAAACTTCTGACCACAGCTATATGCCAGCCTTTTACTTTAATGCATGCATATAGAAACACACTGACACAGTTATGTTTTTTTTCTAAAATATGAAATGCCAGATTGGATGAGCTCTGGCACTTGTCTCTTTGTCCTAGATATCACAGGAGCTGCTCTGCAATGCCCAACCACGAGAGATGTCATTTCTGTGTGTGTGTGCATATATGTACGCCCTCCCTCCCTCCCTTTGAAACAAATCCACCAAATGTTAAAGCTGACGTGGGGTGACAGTTGCACAGTAGTGCTGAGGGGAGTAATTCAATAATGGATGCCGTCTCTAATGTGGGAGTCTGGGTGGATAAAATATACATGGGAGAGAAGAGAAGGAGAGAAGGGGAGGAAGTGGGAGGAGGGCGGTGATATCATTGAAACACAGCGGGGGTCACAGAGAGAGGGATGGGTGGCATGATATCATATAGAAGACAAGGTGGGTGTTTCCGTGTTTCCGTGTTTTCTTGTTGGTGACCCGCCTGTCCTTCAATTTATTTTCTGCATAAACTGTCAGTCATTACACCCACTGCCCAACACGACACGCATGTAAAGAAAACCCAAAAGCAGCACCAGCTGTGAGCCTCCAGCTCTCCAGCATCATCTTCATGTCATGCTGTGACATCTGCCACCCTTCCACACAGGTCAAAGGTCACGGACAAAATACATCCAATGACAGCCGCTGGAGACACACATACATGATTCACATAAGAGCGCACACACAAACACGCATGGCCAAACCGAGTCTAACAGTAAACTGCAATAAATGTGGATACAGACGCACATTAAGTACCCCTGGCATGTATAAGCTAACAGTGTCAGACTACTGCTAGCAGACATTACCTCTGCTCAGAGTAAGATGTATACAGAATACTAAACAGAGAAGTACACGCAATAAAAAAAATGAAGTTAATAATAATTTTTTTTTAAACTGAGCTCTATGGGGAGAATTAATACCATGCTTCATATTTATAACCCCCTAAACGACCAGGACAGGCAGTACAACAATAACAGTTTACATGACAAACTGACATGTGAGCGAGCTAGGCGATTCACATTCAACTCATGCACAGCAAAAGTGGGCGAGCTGAAAATAAGCAGGGGAGGGAGGAAGGCATGGCTACATCGATTTCAGAAAATTTTCAAGGATTTCAACACTTGAAGCAATGACAGCGAAGAGTTAGCATATAGAGGAAAATTACACTGTCCTCCAGGTTCAAAGGTATTTGCCGGCTGCATGTTGAGCAGAAGGCAAATTTCCAAATTCTCCCTGATTTTGTGGAAGGCTTTTAACAGCAGGAGCAGCAGCAAAAGAGAGGACACAGCCAAAAAGTAAAGAGCAATTAAGACGGATGGGAGGAATAAAACAATGCTTCTGATTTTTAAGAACAGCAAAATTTTTATTATATTGGCTTCCAGTATATAAATCTAGATTTAAAAATAAAAATACTCGTTTAGTTCTATTCTTATGTTGCATTCCAAGGACAAAAGAATCAATGATAAACCAGCAAAAAGTGGGGAACTTGGTTTCAGCACCATGGACAGAGACTCGCACGTCGTTTAAGCTTCTTTTATACATACATATATTTCATATTTTAACCAACATAGCTGTCAAATGTGAAGGGGTTTCACATGTTTGTGCCACACCGCGAGCCATTTTAATTGGTTCTGTCAAACCTCCAAACTTCATTCTATCCCATTCACTCCTACACTGCACAGAAAGCACCTAACTTAAGCAGAGTTTCCTTTCAGTATGAAAAGTCAGTCATATTTTTGTGAAGCTGACTCTGGATTCGATAGCTTTAACGTGGGACATTATGAAGGAATTCCCATTAATCATTTCATTCAAAGGCACAACTACAGCAAAGTGTTAGTGGGTCTTTTTCTTATAGTTTTCAAGTTATAATCTTGATGAAGTCATGTACAAAATGAGTCATACACTGCAGCCAACTCAACCAACATTTTTTGTGTTTGCAATATAAATGTTACTTAAACTTAAAACACAATGAGCGTCAGGCAACCTAAAATTATACAGAGACTCTTATTTTCTATTATTTATAAGCCGTTTCTTTCTTGTATTTTTTTTCTCTCACAATGGGCATCGGACATACCCAGGGAAGTATGAGTCATGCTGATTCTAAAAATATCTGCTTCGTGTTTTTTTTCTTCATCTGCAGCCAGGAGCCAGTCAAGACAAACCGAACTTAAACTAAAACAAAACCTTAAAATAAAATAAAAGTGGGCGTAAATTTAATTCTGAAATATTAAGCGGTGTGCATAAATATTAACTGGATAAGCATTTAATTTTTAATATTGGGAAGTCAATATACACTCATGGTCACTTCATTAGGTACACCTGTTCAACTGCTTGTTAATGCAAATGTAGACTCAGCGAATCACATGGCAGGAACTCAGTCAACCTGCTGAAATTCAAACATCAGAATGGGGAAGAAAGGCTATTTAAGTGACACTGACTGTGACATGGTTTTTGATGCCAGACTGGCTGGTTGGAGTATATCATTTGATTTAAAGGGATTTTCCAACACGACCATGTCTGGAGTTTATAGATCAAAGAAAAATATCCAGTGAGTGGCAGTTGTCTGAGTGAAAATGCCTTGCTCATGTCAGATGTCTTGGGATAATGGCCGGACTGCTTTGAGCTGATAAGAAGGCAACAGTAAATCAAATAACCACAATCAACCAGAAATACCAACTGAGCATCGTTTAAGATGCTACCAGAAAATTGTTGCTCATCTTCTGATGGCTTCTTCCAGCAGGATACCACATCAAGTTGCAAAGCTCAAATCATCTCAAACTGGTTTCTTGAGCTCTCTGTACTCAAATGGCCCAATAGAGCCCCTTTGGGATGTGGTGGAATGGGAGATTCCCAACAAATGTGCAGCAAATGTGTGATGCTATCATGTCAAGATGGACCAAAATCTCTGAGGATTGTTTCCAGCACCTTGTTGAATCTTTGTCACAAAGAATTAGAGACAGCTCTGAAGTTTAATGGGTGTCAAACCCATTACTGGCAAAGGATGTATGCGTACCTCAGCTTAGGTACGTGACTCTTTTCTTTTCACCTCATTGTTGCCAACCTACAATAAAGCACTTTGTGCAGAATCTATGGACACGTTCTGCTTTGCAGTTAAGGTCTTGCTCTCCCTCTGCAGACAGCTCTCTCTCCCTTTCTGTGCTCCGTTCACTAAGAGACGAATCAGCCAACCGGGGCACCCAGACTGAGGCTATGAAGAGAAAATGGTAAGAGACATTCTGTTGCTCTGAATATTTCTCTGAGAATAAATCTCAGCACAGCCTTTATCTTTACCGTATGTGTAAGGTGATTTTTGTAAGTCCTTATTTCAGTCATGTTTAAGAGCTTCGTTAACTATGTCAGGGTGCTCTTCACTGTCTGATGCCTTACTTAACCAACTGTAAGGGCTTCTTGCTATGTTTGTGTTTGTCTGCACTGGGTTCACCACGGGTGGCAGTGTAGCACAGCCTGGCAGGGGAAACGTATAAGGGGCACAGGTGTAGCAGAGTGACTAATCATGCTTGGATGACGAGGAGATGACACAGTTTTTACCGATTGTTATGCTTGAACGCTCACAGTTTTAGGATAGCCACACCAGCTATGGTGTCGTCACGCAGGGTTGTTTTGTTTTGGTGACACACCAACTGTAAGTTTGCAACAGCAGATATTATATTGGTAATTCAATAAACAAGCAGTTCTCCCACCACAAGGTAAGTAACTAAACATTCGACAGCTTAAGTCCTAGGCTGCTCTGCTCTCTTTTCTCAACCCTCAGACCCCTCTCATCCACACGGGGCATTGAGGTCACAGCACGGTGCTCCTGCTGCTGATCTTTCATTGCACAGCTCAGTGGTGCAACAGATTGAACCAGCAGAGAAGCTCCATGAGTGAAAAAGCTCCTGCAAAGCTGAAACATGCTGCAGTCAGTAGATGAGGCTCCCACTACACAATAACATCATTTGACCATGACTTCTTGTAATAAAGCTGAAATGGTTCCAAGTCTTTAAAAAATATGATTCCTTCTTCATTTTTCAACAGTATCCCATTCAAGTCAGACAACTGTGCCCATACAATATACAAGGAATTGCAAAATAGCAGTATATTGTAGCAAAGCACATTAAATGCTCTTTCCTTAATACCTCGCAGATAATTATCGTACTTTTCACACCAGGATCTCACAAAACTCCAGATATTCCACAAGGCAAGAAAAAAACTCACATCACACACAGCCATACAACCAACATTACAAAGAAACTCTCCAGGAAGTGTTCTGATGATGTCACACATGTGCACTACAGATGTTACTGAATAAAAAAAACATATTATTATGTAGGAGAAATGCAGAGGAAAACTTACCCACTACTTTTTCGGGGCAGAGGTAGATCCTTCTGGTGAGAAAGAGAAGGCAAGAAAGAAAAGGAAAAGTGGAGAAAAGGAAGGAGAGGGGGAGCAGACAAATGAGACTGGTTAGAGTTTTACACATCATGCAATCTGCAGGACTCATTTCTAAAAGGCAGAAAACTGTTACTATTAGTTACTATTAGTGTGGTAATGAAATGTGAATTAGCATAACATCTCTTGTAATATCTCATTATACAGACTGTTACCAGCAGGAGTTTATGATTAATCTAACCACACTGATATAATTACTTATTAAAGACACACAATTACCAAATTTTCTGTCGTATTATCAATTTAATGTGGCATGAATTTTCCTTTTGTATCCCTTCACACATTTTGCACTGATGTTTTTAAAGTTTTGTTTGAAGCACAGCATAATTTCTCAGAAAACAGGACGAGCACGTTCAAATCAAGGTCAAAACTTAGACTGATCTTGAGTTACACAAAAAAATGTCGCAATATGCTGTTTTCTCTGCCTTAAGGCAATGTGAACATACACAGATTTTTATACCTTTATTTATGTGTAAGCACTCTGACTTTACATATAATGAAGCTTAGTATATAAATAAAATTATCATTGTCCTTGCTTGTGTCCTCTTGTTTCAGGTGGGGATTAGACGTGCCTGTTTCAAACATACAGGAACCTGAATGAAAGCACACATTTTGTCCTAAAGTCTTTCAAAAAAATTTCATCATGGGTGTTACTAACAGATATTTGTCGAGTTACGAGCCACATTAGGTACACCTGTTTAAGCGCTTGTTAACACAAATACCTAAACAGCTATGTTTACATTGGGGCCATGAAGACATGCTCAAAACGACCTCCTGAAGATCAAATTGAATATCAGAACGAGCAGGGAAGATGTCAGTGGCTTTGAAAATGGTATGAAAGAATGGCTCTCAATCCAACAGAGCAGCCAACAAATCTGCAGAAACTGTTTGATGACATCAAAATCGTGGTGAAGAGGGAGCTGAGTATAAAAGCGAAGCTCTCAATTTACCGGTCGATCTACGTCCCTACCCTCACCTATGGCCACGAGCTGTGGGTAGTGATCGAAAGAACGAGATCGCGGATACAAGCTTCCTCCGAAGGGTGGCTGGCCTCTCCCTTAGAGATAAGGTGAGAAGTTCGGCCATCCGGGAGGGGCTCAGAGTAGAGCAGCTGCTGCTCCACATCGAAAGGAGCCAGCTGAGGTGGTTCGGGCATCTGACAAGGATGCCCCCTGGGCGCCTCCTGGGTGAGGTGTTCCAGGCATGTCCCACCGGGAGGAGGCCCCGGGGCAGACCCAGGACACGCTGGAGAGATTATATCTCTCGGCTGGCCTGGGAACGCCTTGGTATTCCCCCGGACAAGCTGGAGGAGGTGGCTGGGGAGAGGGAGGTCTGGGCCTCTTTGCTTAGGCTGCTGCCCCCGCGACCCGGCCCCGGACAAAGCGGATGAAGATGGATGGATGGACATCAAAATCTCTGAGGGATACTTCCTGCACCTTTTTGAATCTATGCCATGAAGAATTAAGGAAGTTCTGAATGGTCCAGCCCAGTAATCCAGTAATGAAGAGGCTGATAAATGCAAATATGACACAAGGGTAGAAAATAATTACCACAAAACTAGGATTAAAGTACATTTAATGTAAATCCCATGAGCCTTATACAGTATTTCTTGTACTGTGACTGTGCCCCCTAAGTATTAATCACATCCACATATTGCAGAAAAGGTTTATGAGATTTACTCCTGCAATTGATAGCAAAAGTTACATGTAACATAAATATTAACTACTGTAGGTAAAGGAAAGATTTTTCTTTCTTTTGCCCATCAGTTAAAAAAAAAAAAAATCATATGTGCATCACAGCATACATCTGTCACCTGGTACCACCTCCTCATTTATCTGAACCATAATTGTTTAGCAATAACATATATATAAATGGTTAATCTTCCTAAAGTCGCAATCTGTGAATTTGCTCTTCCTTAGAGTTCCCCACTAATGCTACTTGCTCACTACTTGCTTAGGTCTGCAATAGGCTAGTTTCCATTTATTCAAAACTAAATGTAATTTTGTATATGCAACATAAGCATATCATTCCTGAAATGACTATTTTGGTAGAAAAGGTTGCCGACCCCGGCACTACAGCCAAACCCCGAGCTGATTTTAAAATGCATAAAGTATAACACTGGCTTAAGTGTTTAGAGAAGGGATCCAGGGTATGTTCAATATGTTATCTTAATAAAAACACCCTAAATGAAAATTTTAAAAAAGAGCAATGTTTTAATTTACAGCTTGGCTTTAAGGTGATATTATATTGTTCATGTATCCTGTCAGTGAAAAGCAGTTTGACAAATAATCCCTCGTAAGTCCTTGGAGACCTTAGGGCTTCAGGAAACACCAGGTTGGAGGGAGACAAAATCCATTTAAAAATTGTTGCTGCTATATTTATGACACTGGGACACAACTGTAAGGACTCTGATGTGATTACGATCTACTGGGATGAATCTGTATGCTGCTTGTTACCCATCAAGTCCCAATTTAAAACCATTAAACATTCAGTTTAGCTAAGATCAGGTTACTGTCAATTTCTCTTGTCAGCCTGTCCTGTGTCGCTTATCAGGATATTTTCTACCTCTCAATGGCTTTGCTAAAAAGATAACGTCTTTTCCCCCCCACTCGGCTTGTCACACACAGCCATGTCTGTGAATTCAAATGAATATAAGTGACTAGAGACGCTAGGGTCACATAAGTTGAGGGAAATAAGGTAATTATAAAGGACTGCGACTGGTTTTCACTGGTTTTGATTTGATCCTGAGAGTTCTGTCCCTCCGTCTCCCTCGTTGCCTTTGTTTAAGTAAACCAGCATTACAAAGTCAAACTGATGAAACGTGACTTGACAGCTGGAGCTTTTGTCTCCAGTCTCAAAACAAGCTGGCTACCCAAACCCGCCCAATTCCAACACCGTGGGCCATGAACACACTTGCAGTCCGTTGATAGAAAAATTACATTACAATATTCAGTATTTAGCACGACAAGAATGGTCCATGTGTTAAGGTATAAAAGGTTTTAATACGCAGAACAGTTGATCCAGATGTTTAGAAACTGAAGTCAAAGGTAACTGGATGAAAGGACAGAAATCTTTTGTCTGCCTGAAGTCTTTGTCTCGCAGCCCTCGGCAGATGCTTCTTATCTGCCTTGGTGATGCTCTCACACTGCAACCACCTTTAGCTCTTGTCGATATCTTTAGCCCAGCTTTCAACAAGAAAAAATCAGACTGAGTTGAATAATTCTGGTTGCTTTGGCTGCGTGTTTTGATGCATGCGGCTGAATTTGAGCATACAGTTTGCTCCTGTATACCTCCTCATTCTTCTGTCAGCAGTGCAATCATACATAAAAAGCAGTGTGCCAGTTAAGCTGGCAGCCATAGGTGGCCCAGCCATAACAGACCAGCCGTTATGTTTGATAGATGAGGTGGTGTGCTTTGGGTCATGAGCCATTTTTCTACATATTTTGTTCTTGTCACATCTTTTTTTCCATGAGTCCATAACTTTGTACAAGAGCTTCCACTTTCTTTCTGGATGTTTTCTGTATTGTTTTATAAGTTTCAATCTCATATAGGATTTGTTTTTTCTCACTGAATCATCTGATGATCAGTTCATTACATGATCATTATTATTTGCCTGAAGATTATTCTTAACTTCCTGCTGCCCTGCTCGTGTTTCTTGGTTCGACATTTTTTGCTTTTTTAAAATGATCCCAACTTTTGTTTTAGCCAATCAACTTACTATCTGTCTCACAGATTTAAGCTTGTGCATCCAATTATTTTTTAAGTCATTAAAGATGTATGCTGTACAATCATTCCACTCTGAAAGAAATCATTAAAAGACCAAAAATTACCAAAGTTAATCACTTTTTTGCAGAGAATTACATTACAGGAAATCTACCACTCTCGTCGGTGGTATGGAGCAATGTTCTTCCTTGTTTTCAGTCTTTATAATAAGAAACACTTATCATATCCAAACTGAAGCTTCATACATGCCGAACAGACATGACGTCTTCACTGAACTCTTGCCAAGAAAGTGCTACTTGACAACTACTCATTACAACTTATATTCAATATTAAAATATGCAACTTTAATAATAGCATTTCAGGTACAGCGGAGGGCAGACAGTTTTTATCTGGGAGTGACATCATCTATCATGGTCAGTTTTTTTCAGGGATGCTAATACGGTACATCATCAAGAGGAAGTGAGCTACGCCAGGGTGACTCAGAGAGCGCCCCACTGGAGTCTTGTGTGTGTGTGTGTGTGTGTGTGTGTGTGTGTGTGTGTGTGTGTGTGTGTGTGTGTGTGTGTGTGTGTGTGTGTGTGTGTGGATATGGGGCAATAGGGATGGCTAATGGACCAAACCCCAACACCTGCTCCCTCTCACTGTCTTTTCAGTTGACAGCTACTGTATGTACTGCTTTCTTGTTACTGGCTATTACTAAGCGTATCACAGCAAGATATAGGCACAAGCCATTATTACTATTATTCTCTGAATTTTAGCTCTAATACAAGATTTTTTCACTGTTCAGTATTTACATGATTTAATATAAAAAAAATGATAGTAATGCAAATCTGAAACACATTTGACGCAGTGTTGCACTGATTAATTGATCCATTATTTTAAAAAGATTATTGGTAATTATCTGAAAAATCCATTACTCTTCATAATTAAAAAGCCGTTCATCAGAGATTTGAGATTATTTAATTCCAGAAAGTTTCTCCTTTGTTCTGAGTTCAGAGAAAAGAAGTTCTGACAATGACACAAACCTCGATGGACATTTTTCCTTTTTCTCTGGTGTTTTCTAGTTTAGACTAAAAAAAATTGTATAAATAAATATTAAATGTAATAATTGTACATTTAAGCTACACATTAATACACAATAAAATTAATCAATAGCAGCAGTAGCCACAATCTCTTGACATGCGTCAGACTTAAGCCAGAAGACAAAAAAAGG